GGGGGGGGAAAGAGTTACAGTCTTGGAATCCCATGGGGGTAATCCTATAAAGTCACTATGAGTCAGAAGGACTAGATGGTGGGAGCTGAATTAAGTTGAAAACATTAACACACTAGGAAAAAAAATTAAAATCCCGCAAACAACAAGAAGAAGAAAAATGTCAACCAGGTTAACAGAGGTGGTGCCAAGAATAGCTGGAGGGTCAGAGTGGCGCGGTGGGCAATGCCTAAATTGCCCGAGGAGGAAGTTGGCAAATCTTTAAGAGGAACTAGATTGAAGAATGGATATTAAAGCACAGAGTTGATTATACTGAAACTGCCTTTATTTATTTTAAGTGTAAGGGACAGAAGAGATAGGAGAGAGAGAGAGAGAGAGAGAGAAAACACGAATTTTTGAAGAAACCCCAACTAAGGATACTTCCCAGGGGAAGCTAGTAGCTGAAGGATATTCAAGTTGAGGAATATTAAAAACATGAACAAGCAGAGCTATTTCCCTGCTTGGGCACTGGTTGCTAAAATCACCAGTTGGGGACAATGCTGCAGAAAATACAATTATTTAAAGAAAAAGCGTCCTTGCTTTATAAGGGAGGAGGGAAGGGAAAATGCTACAACTATGTCTGTGCATATATACTTACAATGAGCATCTAAAAATGTGAGCGTTTCCGCTGTGGCCACTGTTGCTCCTAGCAACCGCGCAGTGATCAGACCTTTCCTTTCTTTTTGTCTCACGACTTTCACGATGGAAAATTGTTTTATGTAGGCTTCTAGTTTATCGTGCAAGTATTCTGTAAGGGATGGGAAAAAAGTCAGTATCAACTCTTGTAAATGTACTTTCGTTTTTACCTGATGAAAGATCATAAAGAAGTGACAGAGCAATGACTCTCCTCCATTCATAATCTAGTTACACAAATTCTGCCATTAAAATAAAAGTAAGGTCTTTAACTCTTTACTGGGCAAGGGGGTGCTATTAAGTTAAGGCAAATCTTACCTTCTGAACTAACCATCACACATACCATTATAATATATGCTTACCCTGTATCCTTTATATCAATACCTATCTTCTACCCCAGGGGTTTAGAAGATGACCCGTTTAAAGGTCTGAGAGCATTAAATAAGGGGTGACAGAAATCAAATCTGGCCAAAAACATGTGTATCAATTTTACAGCATTGGCATTTCAATCTGGAAATTTTCTAAACAAATGACAAATATCAAAAAGATTCTCTGATATCTAGGTAGTGATTGACATACTTTGAGACTAAAATGTTGACAAGAAGGTGGGTAGAAGGTTCAGGAGTAGTATATCAATTTGGGGATAGTTTTACAAGGAGTAGAAATTACGCAGAAATTCTGGAAGCTTGTGATAGAATTTTTTCCCCAGTAAAAATTTGAGAGAAGGAATATATGTGAGTGAATTTTAAATCGGGAAAAACATTCATGAGGCATGCGCAATTTTAGATTTACTATCTTCCAATCTGGGTGTGATACACAAATGAGCAAAATTCCAGCAGCAGGTGAAGGAAAAACACGTCAAGTGCCGCTCCTGTTCCTGACGAGCGGCTCCAGCCTGCTGTCTTACTGCGCACTTCCCGATCCTTGTCGAGGGGCACACAGAGGTGGGGCTCCAGGAACAAGGACCTAAGCCCTGCTGTCTCGGCAGAATACACAACTTTCCACACACTTCCTAACCATCTCAAAATTCTCTGAAACACGAGAAGGATTGTACTTTGTTTTTAACATGTCATCATCAATATGTTCTGCTTTTAAGAGACCTGTGAAATAAAACAAACTTCAAAGGTCTTAATGGGTATTGATTTTT